AATGTTTGCAATTTTTTTTTGTTGCACGCAGAAAGTAGGCTTTTGTGGGCGAACATGTGGGCTTAAATGATAATTTTTTATTTAATTTGAAGAAATGTAGAAAATTTTTACTTTTTTATTGCTATAAAGGAAGCGGAAAGTCTAAGTCTAATTGATTCCAAACCTCCTACGGGAATCAGTACCATCAGCTTCTACAAACGTTCGCCCAGCATATTAAGTACTAAGAGGTAAGATTGTACGCTGTGCTAATGGTTATTTTAAAGTAGAATCGCTTATTGAATAGCGAAATTAATGAGCCATAAAATAGATTTTGTTTGAAGGATTTCGTCTGTGTTGCAAGACTCGGATATCACTGACGTTCGTAAACATTTCGCTCTATGCTGTAAGAGTTTGCCTTCGCAAATTTTCCACTGACACTGGAAATAAACTGCGAGCATCGGCATGACTATTTGCGGAAATTTAACCGCTGATTCTTAGGTCACATCACATCTGGTCTGTTCTTAGACAAGTAACACGGCTGGAGGCTAAGGTTAGGTTAGGTTAGGAAGGCGCGTACGAATGACTCATACTTCCACTCGGAGGAAGATTTGTCCATTGCAGGTGCCCCCTATGAGTGCCAGAAGGAGGCACATCATTCTAACCGAGGAGTCTTTCGTAAGGTAATTGTCAATTCTGGCAAGGACTAATCGAAATATTTGCTAACTAGAAGGTCTTAGCGTTATGCTGTTCGTCTTTTAACAATTTTTTTTTTTTTTTCAAAAATTAGATTAAATTCTAAAAATATATCTGTATAACAAAAGCTAATAAATAAAAAGAAATTAAATTAAAAAATCAATAAAATGAAAAAAGTATTTTTAAAAATTAAATTAAATAAAAGAAACTCTTTTTTTTCTTTTCAAAACAATAAATTCTAAATACTAAATTAGAAAAAGAAAAAATTAAATCAAAAAAGAAGAAGAAACTGCTTAAAATTTAAATAAAATTGACAAAAAAAAATATTTTTATTACAAAAAATAAATTTTATAAATAATGTTCAAAAACTAAATGAAATAAAACATTAAACAATTAAAAAAGAAAAACTAAATAAAATAAACATAAGTAAAGGTTTTAAAAACTAAATGAATTAAAAAAAAATCTTTTTAAACAAGAAAATTTTAAAATTAACAGAAAACTTAACTATAAAAAAATCAAAATTTAATTGGAAGAAGAAAAAACTACAAACATAGCCAGTATCATGAAACAAATTTATGTGAAAAATTATTATTTTATTTGAATTTAATAAGGAAACTGAAAAAAAAATTTTCACTTAAATTGCTTTCGTGAGACCGGCAGTCAGTTCCAAAAAAAAATTAATTAAATTAATAAATATATCCTTTTTTAAATATCTAAAAATCTAGGGAAAATTAAATAAAGAAAGAAGAAATACATAAAATCAGTTTAAAAAAAATATTAATATTTTCCCCCAAGACTTTGGTGCCTTTTTACTATCTTAGCCGGAGTTACGCTGTTATTTATTACCGTAATTGACCTTTTCACGACGCTTCACTTCCTTTTCGGCCTCGGAAAAGTTCTGTCTCGATTTCTATAAATGTGGCTCCCAAGAGAACCAGCATTATTCATGCTTTTTTCGAATCATCCACTGCACTTAATGCGAAAATCGAAACAGACGAAGCTTTTTCGGGGCTACTGCGGACTATTTTTGGATTTAACATAATTTTGTTAAAAATATGCCCTTAAGGAGTTGGAAGATACTTCTTTGTAAAACATGTATTATGCTCAATGAGGCTCTATAGGCGATGTCACATAAATTCGCCAGTTTCTTTAATGAAATTAAACTCTGATGGGATTGCATTCAAGTTCACTTTTTTGATAGCAATTAAGATTAGATAAGCGAAGAATAACATTTTTTGAAAAAAGTTATTATTTATACATTATATATATTATGAAATTAAATTCAAAATCAAATAGCCCATATTTTTAGAATTTACTAATTTTTTTCTTGTGTAACAGGATACGTACATACATTTTTAACTGCATTTTTAATCAGAAAATTTTCTTTTTTAGTTTTTATTTTTAATAAATTTTTTTTTGAACCATGCTCTACATGTGTCACTGGTATGTATTGGGATTAATACATCCGAAAATTCTTTACAGTTGCCATTTACTGCACTTGTGCCAAACTAAAAAATAATGTACATATTTCCAGATAGTCGGCCCCACCACCGTATGTCGACCCCACCTGCACACCTCTTAGGCGATATTAGAGCAGAGAGAGAAGGCACTAAAGCAATTTGGTTGAGGAAACGAAAATTTGTTGCTGCATGCCGAAATGAATCAAGGAAATGGCAAGAGGCAACGATTGATTGCTCCCAAGGGTCGTTACAGGCCGACGAGTGCGTTCAGCGAAGAAAGGGAAATCTAAAAATTGCATGCTCTCACAGCGACGCGTTAATGGCGGTGTCACTTGCAGCAATGCAAAGCGACGATTAGAGTTTTTACAACGCATATGAAGAAGTACGAAAGTAAGCACGGTGAGGGTGGATGCGTGCGACAGCTCTTGAATGATGCAATCATCACTACCCTTTTGAGTATGTATTTGTATGAAGAGTGGCGCTCTGCAAGTGGCAAATGGCAAGAAATCAAGTGTTGCACTTCACACAACAACATAGCAACGCCGCACAAGAGCAGGAAGAGTAAAAGGAAGTGCTTTTGCCGGACAGAAATGCCATTTGTAATTTTGAAAATATGCGAGAGTGTGTATGTGAATGTGCGTGCGCTCCCACCCAAGCTATATGTAGGGCTCCCTTGGTAATTGCGCGCATTTAACCCGCCGCTTCATCGCCCGCACACCCCAGCAAGCTTCACTAACCAAACATGAAATTATTGCAATTTCGCAACCAAATCCAACAATTTTTTGAGGGTAGATAACCGAATCATTTCCTTCGTTTCGCAGCATGTACTACTTCCGCAATTACTTCATCTTCCTCCTTCCACTGACTGCAGGACGCTACGGAAAATGCATTTTCATGGGTGTTGCTGATAAGTAACGGAAATGAGCCCTCAAGCAGCACCAGCAGCAGCAGCAGCATCGGGGTAACAACTTTGCAGAGGGTTGGCTTAAGAAAGTGTGTGTAATCCATTGCTAGAAGAAACGATTTAAATGTGTTAAGACTGTTGCGACTATGCTGTTGAGCTGAATTTAAGACGCTCATGCGCTCATAATTTCTGCTAAGCGGCTTATTTGGCCGGTGCTTCTATGGTGTCGCTGCTCATAAACGCTGTAAATCGCTATTTACCATCAGATTATGAGCAAAAGTACAAAATATATATAATTCTTTATTATGAATGTTGTATTAAGGGACTTTGAACCGCAAAGGGATTTGCATTGCGTGTTCAAAATGAGTGCGACAGTTGGTGAAGCCATTCAAACGAGTGAGATGTGGTGTTAGATAATTAACTATTTTGAAAAATGAGCTTTTGTAGGCAAGTAAGCTGCTTAATCTTAGCGTTGTAATCAAAAGGAGTTCCAAAAATGTTCAAATTTTCTTAAAGTACTAAAATTTGTGGCAAGAGAAACTTTACAGGGCGCAGTTCGAGTCTCGGGCAGCGAGTTTATATAAATTTAATATAATTTTTTTTTTTCTTTTTTTAACTTTTAAATTTGATTATTTTAAAAACAAAAACTATATATGTATTTCCAAATTTCATTTAATTTTTTGAAACTTATTTTATGTATTTTTATTTCTTTTTTAATTTTGTATATCTTTCATTTAATGTTCTTTTAATTTTTAGATCTTACTCTTTTGAAAAGAGGAATATTTTTTGAATGTAATTAAATTTTTAGGAATTTATTTGATTTAATCTTTTTTGAATAAATTCTTTTTCTTCTTTTAGTTTAATTTTCTTTTCGTTTTTAGATTTTATTCTTTAATAAAGGAAAATATTTTTTATTGTAATTTAATTTTTAGAAAGTTATTTTATTTATTGCCACCTCGTTTTCATTTATTATTTCTTTCTTTTTTTTAATATTTTTTTTTTAATTTTTAGATTATGTTTTAAAAATAAAAACATTTTTTTTTAATATTATTAAATTTTTGAGCATTATTTTCGTCTTTTTTGATTTAACTTTTTTCTTTTTCTAATTTAACTTTTAGATTTTATTGTTTTAAAAAGAAAAAAATATATTTATTTAATTTCATATAATTTTAAAAATTATTTTTTATTTGTATTTGCTTTATTATAAATTTCTTTTTTTTATGTAATAGCTTTTACTGAAGAAATATATATTTTTAATTTAAAAGGTATAATTTAAAAAAAAACGTATTCCTAAAAGGCGAACAGCATAACGCTAAAGTCTCCCTGTTTACTCACGAAATTAGAGGCCTAATGTAGTAAAACTGCTTTTTTCACTCTGATGTAGAAACTTTTTTATAGGGCCTTGAGATTTCAAAGATATGATTACTTCAAAAAACTATTTAAAGAATTCAGTGCAATGTAGAATAACAATAGGGGTACCAAGTGAAAGAAAAAAAATTTTTTTTTGGTTCACCAGGAACAGGGATTAAACATAGCATTTTAATTATTATTATTATTATTTTGTAACTTAATAAAATTACAAGGACGGAATTCGAGGGTGTGGTGATGTGTATATTAGTCTTGAATACATAAGTTTTTCAAAAATCAATATTGCAAAATATTCAAGGATATTCAAGGATAAAATTTTAAAGGACAATTTCACCACGTTTTCCACTTACGCATAAAAAAATTTAGACTTTTTAAATTCTACAGAATTTTCTCTAAAAATGCAGTTATACTATAATTGGACTCTTATTTTGCGAGTATTTATATTGATTTTCTTGTGTGTAAAATTTACTGTCTCACAGTGCGGTTATTACAACCCTAAGACAAAAAAATTTTATTTGATATGAGAAAGTCCACAAAAATTTCTTATTTTTTTTAGTTTTCTTCAAGTACTAAATGACTTACTGTACACCACTCACCTCAATGTATCCCTGCACGCTGTCACACTGCTGCAGCACCAAAATCGCCGAGTTGAACTTCAGCGCGGACAGCTCATCGGGCGAGCATGGACTCAGGAAACCACTATCTGCATCGCTGTGTGAGGACAACGGTCGCGGCTTACGAATTTTGTACGGTACATTACGACTCGGCACCGGACCCGGATTGAAGAGTACATAATTCGATTCGATTGGCACGGTACGCGCGCGTAAGTGCTCCTTCTCGTCCAGCAGCATATGCTGCAGGTGAAGCATATGCTCCGAGCTGACTAGCGCAGAGACAGCACGCTGCTCGTTACTCGCTGTGTCCACTACGGCACTAGCGTCACACACAGACGCATCATTCGTTTTATTGTCGCCATTACGCTTAGCTCGTTTATCATTCCCGGCCACGGCGCTGCCACTCATTTGCTGTTTCGACCGAAAAGGTGAGAGATTCAGGAAGGTTAACCTCTTTTTCGTGCGCTGTAGCGTCGTTTGCGAGGACGTCGCTGAGGTGGATGAACTCGCTGAGTTCGTGGAGGTGGATGACTCCACAAGCGCGGTGGATGTTGTTGTGGTCGTGGAAGCGGTGGTGTTTGTATCTTTGGACTCTTGACTATTCGACATGCTCGGCGCCGCATCCAGCACTTCGAGCAACTTTTCAAAGCTGGCGGACTCACGTAGTATGGGCTCGTCTGCTTTGGCAGTGGTTTGCTCAGCCAATGCTTCGAGGTTGGCGTGCACCAGTTGTTCATTGGTGTTTGGATTCGGTATGCCGATATCAGGTATGGGTTCCTCTTCAAAGTCATCTGGATCAATGACAAAATAATTGTGATGATCGAAATTAGCTGATCTCGTTGCGCCACCGCAAGCTTCCTCGAATGTCACCTCAACCACTAGCGTAGAGTCGTCCTCCGGTGGCAGCTCATCCTCATTGTAGATGACTTCGGGCACAGATTCCTCTTCGCTAAAGTCTAAGTTCTGGCGCGAACTGAAGAGCGGATCACGTAGACCGTGTGTCGTGGTCGTTTCAAACATCCGGCTTAAATGCTCATGTGTGCGTTGCCGTAGCGCCTTTTCATTTATGAAATCAACAGGATCGAAGAGGCAATAGTTATCCATGTGCGAGACGTGCGTCTTACGCTGACGCACTGGCAAATTCTTTAGCTTCTCACTATAGTCTGCATCATTATTGTTGGACGCATTCGAGTTCGGAGGACTAGCGTCCGCTGGCGCTGGTGGCGGCGGTGAGACCTCATTCGACGACGATGTGGCTTCTTCTTGTGCCGCGCTATTCGCGGTAAGTGACTTCTGCGAACCACGACTTAGCGAAGCAAATAGACCCCGCGCCAAGCAGTTCTTCAACTCAGATACACGTCCCTTGTAGGGACTAGACTGAGCGCTCGCGCTTCCACCGGCATGCTCGCTACCATCATACACGCCTAGACGCGCATTCAGTTTGCTCAACTCCTTGCGCTCCTTCTTGCTGAGCACGACCTTGCCGCGTGAGGGTGTCGCTGGCGCGGATAGGGAAGCACATGGCTCGGCGGTTGATTGCATGGCGAGGAAGCGCGAGTCGCGCGTTGGCATCTGTGAGATCGGTGGTGGTGTTGGCGGTGGTGGCTCGCGATAGGGAGGCGTCGAACGTGGTGACGCTTGCGCCGAAAGACCACACTTTGCAAACTGTGAATTCGTGACGACCGTCGTGGATTCATAACTGACGGGGAAATCACGAAAGAGCTCGGTAAACTGCGTTGACTCATCGCCGGTGTAGCGGCCATCACAAAAGCTCAATTCCATATAATTAGCATCGCGTATGGCATTCGGCTCGTCGTGTAGTTGGTTCGCGCTGGAGAAGGAGGCATTGCAAAGATTGCGGTTGTACGAGGCAGGCAATGACGTGGCATCGGAAGACTTCGATCTAGTGCCAGGCGCGATAGACTGGGAATGTTGCGAAACACTTAGGAAACTATGAGCGGCCGCCAAGTCACTGTTTGGTGACGGTGGTGGGGAGCTTGTTGCAGCGGCATTATTAGCATTTCGATCTGCTGACGCCAGCGATTTGCTGTGCCGCAGCTTCGATGACTTATCCTTACCCAGCCGATGAGACTTTGGCATGTTGCTGGCAGGTTTGACGGTCCCTGCAAAAGTTATTTCGTCGTTAGTCGTCCGCCGCTTTAACTTGCTGCCATCCACTGTGTTTGCGTTGTTGGCACTAATTGCATAGTGGTTGCGTTTGTTATTACAAAAAAATTTGTAGTTATGGTTGGTAGTGGTGCCATCTTTGGTGGGGGTTAAAGCTTTCACTGACAGCGCTGAGCTCTCGGAAGCTGCATTCTGTTTCACATTCGCATGCCCCAAACCACGTTCAACGCTTGCAGTTGTTGCTGCCAACGAGTGTGGCCGGCGACCGGACCGCCTCTTCACTGTACCGGTAAATGAGCTGGGTGAGTCCCAGTCGTAAATTGATGTTTTTAAATTCACACCAAGCGAAGGTGGGGTAGCGTTAACATTTTGGCTGGCCTCGTGCCTCCAACACTCACTTGAAATTTTATTTTGCTTTGCCGCTTGGCAGTTATTGTTATCCTTTACTTTGTGTTGGCCACTCGTCTGTGGCTTGTCAGAAATTTTTGTTTTCCCTCGCTGGCTTATTTTAGTTGGGTTAACGTCAGCGCTTGCTGTGCATGTGCTGTGCCTGACCAATTCGCTGGTGCCATGGCCAGTTTCATCATAGCCATCGCCATTTTCATCTTTGTACTCCGACTCAGTAAGGTTGTTTTGCGTATCGTTTACACGTGGAGCAGCTGTTTGTTGTTGACGCTGGTGTTGGCGCCGTTGGTGGGTAGACATTTTCGTTGGCAGTAATTATAAGGCGCAGCTTGGGCCTGTAGCGGCTCGGTAAGCTTCACTTTTAATGTGCGGCAGTTGTCTATTCGCTTTCCTTGGCAAAAATTGATGTTGCTCTGGTGGTATTGAAGGTTGGGAAAAGGATAAGAAAGGGTAGGTGGCAGTGGTGGTCCTATTTTGCCGGACATATTGTTGTTGTAAGTTTTCCGTTGTTCACTGAAATTGATGTGGCTGCGTTGGAATTTTTAACGCCGTTTCATAACAGATTTTTGTCGTATTTTTTGCTCTTTGTTTTTTTTTTGTTTATTCACTATGAATTCTTCCAAATTTTAATTTAATTTCACAAGCACATTTTTTGCACACTCTTCCACTCATAATCGCTGTGAGGAATTTTTTCACTATTCACTTGCAAAATTTTTCCATTTTGACCAATCCAAATTCCTCACATTTTCATGCTCAACTGACCAAGGGAGCGTATTCTTTTTGTTTTTTTGTTTTGCATTTTAATCGTCAAAGGACTCTTTCTTGTATTTTTTTTTGTTTTTCGCACAACTTTCTTTTTCAGATTTTTTTCTTATTTCTTAGTTGTCTAGCTGTGGCGTTAAAATAAAATGAAATTAATGGTTTCATAAATCTTCATCTTTATGTGTCTCCCACCCCAGCGAGCACAAAGCCTTTTGCCTTTTTTTTAGGTCGGGTGGGGGAAGGAGGTGCAAGAGTTAATGGGTTTTTGCTGTTTTTGGTAATAAAAATCGCTCATAATGGAAGTGATAAGCGACAATTTTGGGTTCTGAACAACATACATTTTTGCAAGTCCTTTTGAGCGACTGAATAGACTTAAAGGAAACTTTGTAGCTGTGTTGTCTGTTGCTGACCTTAACTGGTTTTAATTTAATGTGTCAAAGTTACTTTCTCTAAACGTGGTTTATTGTCTTGCCTTGAATTTTTTCCTTTTTTATGAGGTGAAAAAACAAATGTTTATAATTGCTTTTTGACTGTCGATTGTGCCCTTTTGTGCAAAAAAAGGAAGCATAAACCTACCCTTTTATTCGGGAATCACTCAAATGCACCAGCGGCGACCCAATGTCTATTTGAAAATGTATCAAATTTTATTTTCTACGAGTTTACCAGAGTTTCATTTTTAAGAAGCATTTTAAATTTTTTTGCCTAAGACAATGAGAAGCCCTGCCAGAACCTATAACCAAAATTTCAAAAAAATCCGGTCAGCCGATCTCGAGCTTTGCGAACACAAAAAAAACGGGTTGCAAAATATAGATTAGTAAAGCTTACTGACAGGAAGATATCCAGTGTCAGAAAAAGGATAGCAAAAATATTTCTTTTGGTACATTTCGTTGCCCGAAGAGCAAATAGCAGCCTCATCTATTCTCGTTCGAAATTCCGCCAAAGCCACAAGACCACAACTATTCTCTACGCAATGCCTAAAACAATACACTACTTTCCAGGCCACCAAACCGCTTTAATGTTGGACTAACTCACTAAAGTGATGACTTTAATTGCCTAATTAGTGCGCTGAAATTGCAGCCATTCAACCAAAGCTTCAGCCATATCACTAACCAGCAAGGCAGCTGCTACACCGCAGTTCAGCCGTGAGTGAAAAGGCACCTAAAAGTATACTACGCCTATAAAAGCATAACTTCGTAGTAAATTTACACTCTTCATGCTACACGTCAGCTGCATTTCGCATGAATCGTCCAAGAAAAAGTTATATTGCCAAGACAAGCAAGCAAATTGATTCTCGTTTCTCATTTTGCGTCTTCGCCTCCTGCTGCTGCTGCTGCTCCTAATGCACGGCTAATAAACTCCAACAAGTTGCATAGTCGTTGGCGCATGATGAATTTAAATGGCAATGAAATGAGCTACAACAAATATATCTAAGCGGGCCAGTGTAACCAGAAAGCACGCTGAATGAAATAAATTAAGAACCCGCACCGACCACACAGCCCACAGTCGGTTAAAGTAAAACTTCTTTCATTGTAATTTCACGTCACTTTTGCAATTAAAATGTAAATTTTTAATTGAATTGCAAGCGTCAAGATTGTGAATTTTCGAGCAAAGGAGGCGCCAAAAGGACTGCAACGGAAGTGCGCAAGCAACGCAAGTAGGTAGACAGGCAGATGGTATACAATTAGGCGCACATATAAATATGTATGAAGACAAGGTAATTTGCTGGGAAATTAGGTTAATGTGTATACCATGCTGTTGATAAGTGGGTTATTATGGAACATTTTATGATTATGTGTTGACCTGTATTAGATGAAGCACAGTTTTAGGCGGTTAATAGGATGAAAATAAGATGACGCATCAAAAGTGAGTTTGTATCTTAAATTGGGGCAGTTTTGGGAGGATAAGAAACGCAATTTAAAAAAGGAAAACAGCTGTGCAAAAGAGGAGACACAAGAGCGGAGATAAAGCTAATCAAAAGCATGGAAAATAGGTACAGGATGTGCGCAAACAAAATTGCAAGTAATGGCATATATTTACTTCTTGGCGATTTTAGAGGATGGGATTGAGATGGAGTGAAAATGGTAAGAAAAAAAAATAATGCAACGCAGTAGTGAAGTGTAAAAAATTGTGAGGCCGAGATGCATAGAATGGAAAAAACCAAATAAATAGCATAAAGCGATATAAAATGAAATGAAATGAAATTGAAATTGTATCTAAGTACAATGAAATGAAACACAGTGAATTGAAATGGAATAAAATGAAAAAAAAACGAAATAAATGATATGAAATTAAATGAAATGCAAAATAATGTGGGCAAAATGAAATGAAATCAAAGTTCAATGAAATAAAACAAAATGAAATGGAACAAACAGATGTAGTGAAAAAAATTAAAACCATCTAGCATAAAAGATATGAAATCAAATGAAATGAATTCAAAGAAATTAAATGAAGCAAAGTGAATTGAAACTAAATAACAATACTAGGAAATGAAACAAAGTGAAATGAAACGAAATGAAATGAAAAAAAAAATTAAAATAAATGAAGTGAAATTAAATGAATTAACTTGAAACGAAAAGTGGATAAGATTAAATTAAGTAAAATAAAATGAAGCGAAGTGAACTCATAAGAAATTAAATGAAAAAAATAATAAAACAAAGTAAAGGGAGTTGAATGAAGTAACATGAAATGAAATGAATGCAGAAAAAAATTAAATGAAATAAAATCAATAAAACGAAATGAAGTTAAATAAAGAAAGAAGAAAAATGGAAGGAAATAAAGTTAAATGAAACGAAGTGAAATAAAGTGAACAACTTTTAACCCAATTCAGCTCAACGAAACTGACTGGGATGGAACAGCTAAAATGAAGCTTTTGGGTAAGCAGCTTTGGGTTTGGAACCTTGAGCTACGGCAAAAAGAAATCGAACTTTATAGCGGTCTCCCCGACATATTAGAGGTCTTCCCTTAAACTCGTAAAAGCGTATGGAGCTCTATTTACTAGCCCCTCGTAAATTTACGAGGCAAATTTGATGCGCAAACGACCTCGTAAACTCAGTATTGTCGAGGGGCCGAAATTTTTATACTAAAATGTATGATAAAACAATGAAAATAAATGAAAAAATAATACGCGAATGAAATGAATACATTTCATCCACTAACTGTATTGAAATAGGTTTTCTGCTAATTTTCTGCATTTTCGATTTTATTTTAGCCAAGAGTGATAGAGACAAGATGGCGGGATGTTATGGAAAATACTACGAAACAAAAATTGCTTAACAAAATCCTGGTTTATCTGTCAAACAGTCACCTTACGCACCTACTTACACCTTTTGGGCAAAGGGGTCGTTCCCATAAAAGCCTCGTAAACTTACGAGCTTTACACGGTTTAAGACTTTACAAGTTTAAGGGAATCATCTAATTGTTGAAAGGTTCACTAAAGCTTGTGACAAAGCTCCGAACGGAACGTTTATAACTAAACCATGATCGAGCGAAAGCACGCATGCATGGAAGTGTAAGAAAAAATCTTTTTAAAGTAAGATTGATATAGAATGGGCTTCATGCATAAAAAATGAGCTTAAGCTCAGACTCAATATTTACACTGAAACAGTAAGCTCAAGTTCAATTTTTACTAAAAATCTATTCGGATCTGAAGCTCACTTTTTATGCAGCTCACTTTTATTCGTTGATTTCAAAGCGTCTTCCAACAGTAGCAAAAGAAGTTGCGCATATGCTGCTCTCTATTCTATATCCGGACATATTGAACATTCCATATTCTATCTTACCACGAAGCTATCTTCGATTTAACGCATTCTCTGAAGCAAAATACATTCCTTTCCCTGCTTTAAAGCTGAAGCTGCCAACCAAAGTACTAAAGTCCGCTATATTTTATAGCTTTTAAGTGCAAGTGCAGTATAAAAAAGTCGTTAACTAAACAAAGGATATTACAAAACAAAAACAACAACAACAACAACAATTACTATGCAGTGAGTACACTACAATCCAATGCAATACTTTTACTTTACTTTACTTCGATGCAATACTTTGTGTAAACTTTTCAAAAAGGGAAATATAAGAGAAATGAAGCTGTAGAGAGGTCTTAGAGTCAACGAGCAGCAGCACTCATCAAATGTCACAATCCTTGGTATTTACACTTAGTTGCATTGAACGGTTGCCCATCAATGATGGACTGACATACGTTGCTATAGTAACTGTAGAGTGGTAGTAGTTGTAATCATGGTAAATACCAATGGTCAGCCATGTGAAAAGCAAAGCAAATAGGTCGCTTGTAAGTAGTGCAACTTCAAATAGAAGCGAGGTAGAAAACAGTAGAGAAATTGAGTTCGGAGTGTTGCTCAAAGCAAAAATATTTTTAAAGCGGTGACGAAGTGTATAGCTACTGAAGGAGAGTAGATCAAAAAACCTGCAACTTAGCGGCAAATAAAAATCAGCAACTTACTTAGTAATGACGCTTCAAAATCACTCACCAGTTGTATAATTTAAATTTAAAATTCTTCATAGTTCTACTTTGTAGTTAAAATTTCAAACAACTCTCCTCCGCAATATAAATAACTTCTAACCGCGGCATTCACATAACGTAGAAAACTTTCAGCAATCCACACAACTGTCAATAACAAATAGATACATACATATGTATGTTGAAATAAGTACTCCACAGTCTTAATGCTATGCACTTCATCTAAAAGCTCTTTGCAGTTTCTTCATTTTATTTGCCCGCTCTTGCATTGTGTTGTTTTGTGTCAAAAACTTCTCAAACTTTTGCGGCGAAATTCAGCAAATATACTCGCTTGTCATTCGCTTTTATACCAAAACAGTGGCAGGCGCATCAACTTAACTGATATCAACTCAACTATACTCGACTGCATTCAACAAATGCGACATGCGACCACTGATCGTTGCAAACTTCGAACTGCTTTTAAGTTGGGAAAGGCAGCGTAAAAAGTGCGCCATGGCAGTGGAATAAGAAGTGTGTCAGTCATATTTTTTGGGTGAGTGTGAGCATGCTGGCAACTGGAAAGTGCAAATGTGCTTGAATTTTTGATAAAACTATTACACTACCGAGTATATG